CCCTTTAAAATACAAAATACTATGTATCTTAAATACTGCCCATCCTTGACTGTAAGAGCCACAAAACCCTGATGAATCAAATATGATACTCAACAATAAATCAATCAATCACATATGCATACTTTTAACCTAAATGTTCAAAAAACCTTGCATTTCTCTGCCTATTATTTCCTATGTCAAGCTTTACAGGGTTAAAGCCATTGTAAGTAATCATTTACAACTAGAATATTATTTTGTCACATAAAAACACCAGTACATGAACCAGCCATTAAAGTATGAATGTGCTTGCTTTTGCAGGTGAGTAAAGTTGACATTATGCTGTGGTGGAGAGTGTCGAAGCCCACTGTGCGAAGTCTTTTGCTAATTCAGGCTGTTGCAATGGTGCTTCTGTACGGATGGTACAGCCGTCCACCATCTCAAAACACCTCTTTGTCCGAGGGCAAGGTGCATGTGCTGCTGCTGTCATCTTGGAGGTCTGGCTCATCATTCCTGGGCCAGGTGTTTAACCAACATCCGGAGGTCTTTTACCTGATGGAGCCAGGCTGGCACGTGTGGATGTCTATAAAGCAAGCCGGTGCACGTAGCTTGCGAATGGCGGTGCGCGATATGATTCGCAGCGTCTTTCAGTGCGACATGTCGGTGATGGACGCTTACATCCCCCAGCCATGCAACGTCTCCAGTCTCTTCATGTGGAGCCACAGCCACGCGCTCTGCTCTCCACCCGCTTGTTTTCTCACAGCTCGCAACGAGATTAGCAAAGAGCAAGAATGCAAGCAGCGCTGCGACTCGCAGGGTTTGAAGCTTGCGGAGGCAGCGTGTCGGACTTACAGCCATGTGGTGTTAAAAGAGGTGCGCTTCTTCGAGTTGGAGTCGCTGTACCCGCTACTGCAGGACCCCACTCTGGATCTGCGCATCATCCATCTAGTTCGTGACCCACGAGCGGTGCTTCGTTCCCGAGAGAAGTCGGCCTATGCCCTGGTGCAAGATAGCGCCATAGTGCTCGAACAGGCGAGCCTTCCGGAACAGGATAAGCCATACAAGGTCTTGCAGGAGATTTGCCGCAGTCATGTGCGCATTTATGAGACGGCCATGTTAAAGCCGCCCGATTTCCTACGGGGACGCTACAAAATGATACGTTACGAGGATCTAGCACGTAACACTCTGGCCGAGATCGAAGCCATGTATGAGTTTGTGGGGCTGGAGATGACCGAAACTTTGCAGGAGTGGATCTACCGCATCACCCATGGGAAGGGCAAGGGAACGAAGAACGATGCCTTCAAGATCACCTCGCGAAATGCAGAGGACGTCTCCTTGGCTTGGCGAACCACCTTACCGTTTGAAAAAGTCCAGCGCATCCAGGATGTTTGCAAAGGAGCCATGACTCTGCTTGGATATAAAGCAGTGGATAGTGAGAGAGAGCAAAAACTGCTGTATTTAGACCTGCTGAAGCCACATGAACGCAATCAGTTCAGCTGGCTACCATCTAAAAGCACTTCCGCTAAAGTATAGAGACGCTCCAGTGATCAAATGCATAAAGACCTAAGAATGGTGTGGCGTTTGCCCATCGGTTTTGCTCTCCTTCACTTCATACAAAAGTATGGACTGTCCAACACAATGTCCTAGTGACCAGCAGAGAATGAGACGTTCCTCTGTCAAACGGGACACTAGAGCAATGAAGCGCTGTCCTCTTCTTAACACAACACTGGATGCTGTTTTTGAAGAAATCGTGGTCCAATAATTAACTTCAAGATGTATTTATTGACAAAGAAACTATTATGGTGTTTTTTTGTTTTTGTTTACAGAAAAAAATTTTCATTTCAATTTGACGTTGTAGATGCAGGTTGAATCAGAACTATAACAGGGCTGTGTGTTTCTTGTATAAGTGTCACATAAAAATGCCATTCAGCTATCTACAGATTTACACCGACTTTGAATGCATAAAGCTGAATATCAACATCATTGTGAATAAAGTAGTTCCTGCTCCTGGAGACCCACTGTCTCGCAGAGTTTAGCTACACCTAATCAAACACACCTGAAGCAGCTCATCAAGCTCTTCAGGATCGCTTGGAAAAACTCCACTTTTAGACACGCACTCTCGAACTTCCCTAAGCACTTCCCCTCGGGGGAATCCCCGCTGCCATTTTGAAGTGCGTTCCACTTCGTGAAGTGGACGAGGGAAGTTTATATGAACAGACCCTCGACCCCTCGATTTTGACCGAGGGAGCGAGTCTGCTTCATATGCACACTTCAGGCCGCTCCATAGACCACAATGCAACACGATTGTGATGTCATCACAGATCGCGTTTAATTTATCCCCACCTCAAACAACTCTATAATATATAAAAAAAAATTTTACATTTATAACAGCCCAAACATACCTATATACATATAGAATGCTGCACCAAACAAATTCATAAGGGAAAAAATTTAAACCATAAACCAACTCCAAAGCTGATTCTAAGTGATCAAGTGCTTAGAATGTTCCAATTCAGCACATTCCAAGGGTTCCGCCAGAAGTGGGCACTCATGCAACGTAATCAATAACGTACATCCGAGTAAACGAGACGGAGGGAAGTTTGCGAGTGAAGGGCATAAAAAAACGGACTGGAACGCAGCCTGGGTGTGCTGAAGCAGGTTGGAGAGTGGGGCCCCAGGAGCAGCCCTAATATTTGATTGTATGTTTAGATTGATGTTAGTGCTTTGCTATTTTAAGAGTTTTATTAGCTGTAGACTACTTGTTGTCCATTGATTTAGACTTTACTCCGACTTGGACCAAGAAAAAAAACGCTCTTAGAAATGTGATTGTATGTGCCATTTTTTAAAAAGTCACACATCAGTTGAATCCTTGCTACAAGTTGTCATGAAGCACTTTGCTTAAAGGGGTCATATGATGTGATTTAAATTGTTCCTTTCTCTTTGGAGTGTTACAAGTTCTTGGTGCATAAAGAAGATCTGTAAAGTTGCAAAGACTAAAGTCTCAAATCCAAAGAGATATTCTTTATAAAAGTTAAGAGTCAGCCACGCCTACCTAAAACGGCTCGTTCTAACACGCCCCCACATATCTACATCACGATGTGGGAAAATTTGCATAACACCGCCCAAATATTCATGCAAAGAAAGAAGGTGTAACTTTTATTCTCGCTGTAGTATTGTTGCCGCCGCTGCCATGTTGTGAAGGCGTGGTGTGTTTCGTTGTGAAAGCGAAACTACTTTGTTTGGTCTTCCAAAAAAGGATGATATCTGCTTCGTCATGCCTGGAGCTGATCCGTGCTGGTCGCTGAGGGAATACATCAACTTCGCGCTGTGGATTGCCGGATCGGCTTTCACCGTGGATGAAGCGAAGTCCAGCCCGGAGTCATCACATGTGGTTGCCGCAGGCATCATCACAATATGGTAAGGGGCGTAACATTTCTGTCACGCGCTTGAGGAATTCGGCCAATCACAACGCACTGGATAGCTGGCCAATCAGAGCAGACCTCGCTTTTCAGACCGATGAGCTTTGTAAAAATCGACGCGTTTCAGAAAGGTGGGGCATAGAGGAGAAACAATAATGTACAGTATGTGGAAAATAATGTTTTTTTAACCTTAAACCGAATAAACACATTTCATTACACCAAATAATGTTCTTTTTAGCAGCATCATATGACCCCTTTTAACCATAAATTGAACAAATGAAAAAAGACACACAACCAACAATGGATAAATATGGGTAAAAGAGGCAAAAAATTATGCAGAAATTAAGAAAATAAAAGGATCCAATTGAAAATAATAGAATTGCCAACAATTATACAACGAATGAAAATAATAAAATTATTGTATAATCGTGACTACAGTTGTCATTTCAACCAAAATTAAATAATGAACAGGATTCAAGTTGTGCTCTATGGGTGTGTGTATATTAGAAAAATCCTGGGCAAATTACTAGCAAAAAATCTTAGATTTCCAAGTGCACAATCATGTTCAATGAATTGAGTATGAAAATTATGGGTATGTTCTAATACTGACTTTTTAATGAAGACATGTAGGTGAACAGCCTACAGTTGGGTTAGCTATATTACTTTGTTAAAAGATTGTTTATTCTTTTAATATTTATTGCACATAAGGGCCAAAAGTGTTGTTGCTATCATTTTATAGACCAACACTCTTAAAAATAAAGGTGCTTCACGATGCCATAGAAGAACCTTGCATCGCTTGAAGAACCTTTTGAAGCACCTTTATTTTTAAAAGTGTAGAGAGGCCTTTGCATTACACGGGGACACACTTGAGTTACTTAATTATACTTCCATGTAAAACAAGTGAGAAAATAAGCCAGTGCCACAAGACAAAATACACGCCTATTCATGAGACTGTATTATAGAGTTTCACTTAGAATGTGAATTCATCTTGTTTTGAGGATATTTAGATATTGTACTGGAAAACAAAAGCAAAGATCCTCATTTTAAAAACACCAGTTTGTCTATCTCTACCAAACTGAGCAAGAGTGTGCTCTTGCAAGTTCAATGTTAGCCAAGGTAGTTGTAAGAGTATAAACTTAGGTAGGTTAATGTTCTGATTGTTTACATATGAAGAAATAGTTAATTACTATCTCATCCATATGTTTATCTGCTCTTAAATGCGTAAATATTTAAATACTTGAGTCATTTTGAAATGAGATGATTGGAGGAATTACGTTTGATGGTTTGGGCTCTTCAAATTCTTTTATATTTATCTAACTAAAAGTGCTTTTTAAAAGTGAAAATGTATATATTAATTAGAGAGTGATATTTTGTTGCTATAGACCTTTTTTTATTATGCCTAGTTAATGTTTTTTTATGCCATGTACTTGGTCGCCACTAACCACTGTGAAAGAAGTATTGCCAGTGCCACAAGACAAAATACACGCCTATTCATGAGACTGTATTATAGAGTTTCACTTAGAATGTGAATTCATCTTGTTTTGAGGATATTTAGATATTGTACTGGAAAACAAAAGCAAAGATCCTCATTTTAAAAACACCAGTTTGTCTATCTCTACCAAACTGAGCAAGAGTGTGCTCTTGCAAGTTCAATGTTAGCCAAGGTAGTTGTAAGAGTATAAACTTAGGTAGGTTAATGTTCTGATTGTTTACATATGAAGAAATAGTTAATTACTATCTCATCCATATGTTTATCTGCTCTTAAATGCGTAAATATTTAAATACTTGAGTCATTTTGAAATGAGATGATTGGAGGAATTACGTTTGATGGTTTGGGCTCTTCAAATTCTTTTATATTTATCTAACTAAAAGTGCTTTTTAAAAGATTACATGCTCAACAAAGCTTTGAAAAGTGAAAATGTATATATTAATTAGAGAGTGATATTTTGTTGCTATAGACCTTTTTTTTATTATGCCTAGTTAATGTTTTTCTATGCCATGTACTTGGTCGCCACTAACCACTGTGAAAGAAGTATAGATAACATGTCATACAGACACCATTTTATGATTTTTATGACTTGTTTGATTGTGGTAAAACAGTATGGGATAAATTATAGCTAAAAGGACTTTGAACCTGGATGTCAGACTCACTTCTACGTTTTAGTACTGTGGTACTGCTTTGTCTGTCATTTACATAAAAGGCTTTTATTATTCTTTATACTTGTTCTGTAGAATTTATCTGTATACACTGACATTTGGAACCTAATGTGATCAAATGTAAACTATTTGTAGGAGTGTTCGTATTTTTTAATTGAGGTCTTGCCCTTTTTATGAGGTAATGTATGATTTCAATGGTGTTCAGGTATTTTATGTTATTTTATTGATGTTGAATCACATTAATTTATATTCAACATGACAAGCAGTATCTTAAATCAGTTGACTTGTTAGAGATAAAGTGATCCAAAGATCAAAAGTCTCTTCAAACCATTTTACACACAGAATGCAAATGTGTTGTGATTTATATCCACCTTATTTTTCAATGCGGAAGTAAAACTTGAATAAGGTGGATAGAGAATATATTTTGTTACCTGTTGTGATCAGGAGGGACATTTGATAATTTATCCATCACAATCTATTGTGTTATTAAACTATATAGGGAGAGAGACATTTTAGGAATAAAATCATGGTACACATTTAGAATGTTGGTATTTATGCTTGTCTTCAGTAAGCTGTCTCTAGGTTTATAATCAATGTTGATCTTCTGGGTGTTTGCGCCTTCAGTGTAAAAACATGATGCCTCATCCACTGGTTTGTCAATCTTTTTGTCTGATCAATGTGGAGTAAAAAACATATATATTTTTTTCCCCCCACTTTATGTACCTTACAAACTTTCTTTGACAATTGATCATTAAACCCTGCTGTATTAATATACATAAAAGCTATAATCTCTCTACAAATGGAGTTCTACTGTTTATATACGGAGTAGCAGTCAGTATGTGGTGTTTAAGTGCTACAGTGCATCTCATCCTCATGAACAGCACCAGATTGGCCAGTTCTTGCTGTGAGATGTTACTACACTCTTCCATCAAGACACTTGCAAGTTATTTCTGGGGAACACATAGCACATATGACTCAGGCACAAGTCTGAGCATTCAAAGGCATTTAAGAGATTTAAATAAATCGCTTACCCTAAAGTTTATTGAATAAGACAAAGTGTTTTAGAAGTCTGGTTTGATGAAAGCCATCTGCCAAGAACTGTAAATGTTCTAAACCAGTGTTTGGAAGGAATAGGTTCATATCTGTTTACCTTCTAATTAAAGACTATATTAACATGCAAAAGTCAGCTCTTATGTCATCACATTATATTATGCCAGTAATTCTGAACAAATGTGAATTTATTTAATAAGGTGTATCCAAACTTTATGGTGCAGCATCAAAAACTGGTTAGTTCATTGATCCCTTATGTACTGTAGGAAAAGTTCATTGTTAATTTGACATTGTTTCTGTATTTTTGGAATGTAAAAACTAAAAATCTTATTACAGTAACTTAAAAATGGGCTCTTGACTTGATGTCCACTGCCTGGCTTGGCTGTTGAAATGAACCTCATAAGTGAGTGATTTGTGACGCTCTTCGATCCAACTCAAGCAAGTATAATGACGTAACCCATAAAAGCCAAATGAATGTGATTTCACCAAACAGAACATGTTCC